AGAGAAATCCTCAGGCTTTGTGGTTGCCGTGAGGTTGAATTTCTGAATATTTAAATATTAAAGTTTTCACTAGGATGACAAACGGTAGTTATTATTAAACATGAAGATAATTTTCTAAAAGGGTTTTTGCGAGAGAAGAAACTAGAATTTGTACTCAAAGGATGAACGTTGAACAAGAGGTCCCCAAGTTCTAAAGTGGGCCAGCAAATCAAGTTATCAACCACTCGGGGAGGTAAAAGGGCCATCAAAGAACCATTTAATGCTGTCCCAAGTGAATCACTGACATAAATGTCCTTTCCTGTAATTCAATAGAACTTTTCAATTTCAATGTGTTTTATGCTCACTACGTTTTTTCTTTTTTTATTGTTAAAGAAGAACTTTAATGACTTTTGTTACATTTCGTTTTTGAAAAAGGAAATTATTATTGAAAAAATAAACCTTTTTCATTCTGCAATTACAGTTACCTAGCGAACAATATTATTTCTACCCATTTTATGTGAATTTTCTAATATATTTTTAGGTGTACCCCAAGGCTCACATCTATATTTTCCAAACTTTTATCGACGACGTTTGACAATTTTTCCGATTTCTTTTATTTGCGGACGATTTAAAAATATAAAAGTTCTTTTAGAAGAACATATTAGAAATAAATCTTTCCGTTTAGTTGTAGTCAATGTTTCGGTTGTCAAACACAATGTTGAATCGATTGTATGTTGGGATGGCCATGTAACAGTAGTTTCATCGACTAGACCACCAACGACTATGAATCACTAGAGTAGAAATCATGAGAGCGGAAATCTGTCTGCAGTTCTGGGTCACCGGTATAACCTGGTGACATTGCTGTACTGAAGTTTCGAATCCTTAATTGAAATACGTCAGCTGTTAAGTTATTGTTAATTTAGATTGTCAAATTATTTTCGATTCTACTATTCCACTCATGTAGACGAAGCATAGGTAGTTACTTCTGTTACAAATTGGAAGAGAATTTGTTTTATCTTTGAACGAACATAATGATCAGTTATAGAATCAAATATTCATAAAAAATATTACGAATTTTATATTAAGTATTAAGTTTCTCTAATTACCAGTAATGTGAAATAATTTCCCTGACATAGATTTATATTTGAAAAACTCTTATTTGCGGTTTATTAAAAAAAGAGTTTTGGCAAAAAAAATTGTGAATGGAAATGTAACTCTTTAGATAGGCGAATTGAATTACCTTACCCAGGAATAATACGTTCAGCATATTATTGGGAGAAATATTTGAAAAGGAAAGAAGTGGTAAGGTGACAGTTACAGTACGTGTAAGGCGAGGAATAAAGCTCGCAGCTGTAGTCATCTGCGAAGTTGAAAGCGTTGGTAGCAATTACGTAATTTGATTTCACTCCGACGTCAAATTCAAATTTATTTTTGACGTTGAATTTACTTTTCTTTCGACGACGAATTCATTTCCTTAACGCTTTTCATAAAAGGGTTGGAGTAAAAAAATACTAGGGATATAATAACGAAATATCTTTGTTAATACTAAATTTGTAATAAACTTTATTAGAGAACTATAACAACACTTAAATTAATTGTATGGTAACGTGAGCGTCAGCAGTTACATAGTACACACACTGCTAAGCAAGGTTCGCGTTGAGAGCTGCCTGGCTGCAGATTTCGACAGTTCGCCTGCTGCCGGGCTACGAGGAGCATCTCGAGCCTACGCTTTCCTAAAGTTCCAAAAACCATCGAAGTATTCAAAGGCTTCTCTTATGGGAGTCGAGTAGAATAGGAAACATTTTCTGGGGGCTTCCCCCACTGTCTCAAGAGCAAGATAAGCTAACCCTCATCTTCCTGATGATGATGCCGGTGTTCCTAATGATGATGACGGTATTCCTGATGATGATGATGACGGTATTCCTGATGATGATGACAGTAATTCTGTTGATGATGACGGTATTCCTGGTTTTAGGAGGTTCCCTGCCCGGAGAACCGAAAACTCTCCCTTACAGGGAAATCTTGTAACTACCGAGAAGCTTCTCCTAGATACAACATTCTATGTGTCATCCTAGACAATTGGCAGTTTTCAATGATCAGAATGGTGCATCCTGTCTCCATTGAACTTAATTCCGGGACCACAAAAATAGCTATCATTACAATTAAAATCAGAACTATGAAGAATACATAAGACATCGAATTCCCTCAATCATTAATTCAAATATCAAATACAGAATGAAAAAAAATTAATTTAATTATAAAATTATTTCTACAAAAAGAAAAATAAAACTTCTAATTTTCGTGGTCTAAGCGAAGTTTAATGTCTAAAATGTCTATAGACAGAATCCCTCACGACAGGAACTCGTTGTTTTCCTACTGTTTGCTTCGAAACTACGGAAAATTCGTTTATACCCAGGAGAAAGGATCGTATAGAAGTTGGAGAGAGAGAGAGAGAGATGAAGAAACTGAGAGGAAGAGAGAGAGTGAAATAAAGGTTGTATGTGCTACGGGACAGATGTCTACGTAGGGTGGCAATCGTTAGAAGGAAAACCACATTTCGAGACCGATAGTCTACCAGAAAGTAGCATAATTTGGACTAGCATGAGTCTCACAGGATTGCAGACAATGTTACTTGAATTTGCAGAGAATAGAGCTTCTGGGAAATATTTTCCAGTGAAAGATCAACTGGGAACTTTCAGTACATATTGTCATGGGTAGGGAACATTTTAATTTTTTCCCCCGTTCCAATGTTAGTTAAACCTATACTTTCTACTGCTTTTCTAAATTAAGAACTTTGTTCAAGTAAATAATCAAATTAACATTTTTTGATAATATTACTTATTACCTAAAAGTACATATCTTGATGTTTAATTACAAAAATTGGTTTCGATCGAAGCCACTCTGCTTTAAAACATTCATAAAGTTATAAATTAAAATATTTTTTATTCTGCGGGTTTGTGGGTCTAATTACGAATCCGAGCTGTTTTCCAAAATACAAAATGGCGGATCTAATATGGCGGACGGAAATCCAAAAATTCGAGTTTATGGCCTGAAAATTACAACTCGGGGATTTTCAGGGTTGCTGATTACGAATTCAAGATCAGTTTTTAAAAATAAAAAACTAATTCTAAAGAATGATGAAATCTACGTTACCTTAAAGAAATCAGACGTTAAAGCGTTAATTTAAAAAAAAATTGTTATAGTATTTACTTTTATAAATAAACAGTTTTAAAATTTTTCAAGTGTTTGACAACCCTCCTCAGTGTCTAATCCATCAAAGAAACTGAAAAATAAGTTATTAAATATTATAATTCGTATTTAAACATTTTAAGGGAAACAGTATTTTCATGGGAACGCTGCAGGTGCTACAATTGAAAAAAGATTAGTTTACATATTTCTTTTGCATACTTTTCATTGCCTCCAAGGTTCCCTCAATTTTCTTTTTAACCCATTTCTGTATCATATCTTGTTTTTCTACTCTTATTATTTTTTTTTCACTTTTAGACAGTTCAGATTCGTACTATCAATTTTTTTCGCTTTCTCTAAAGAAAAATAGAAATTTTAAAGAAGAAACTAAAAAGTGGTTTTAAAAAATTCAAAATTTAAAAAAATATGTTTTGTAGAGAGAAACGGAGAAATAAAAACAGATCCCACCAGATTTTTATGTGGCTTGTAGATTACCTACCTTTTTATAAACCGATTACGCTAAATAAATTAATCCGCACTTTTTCTTTGCTTGTATATTAAAAACAAATTTTCTCTCAAATTTTATGGGTTTTTTTCAGAGAAACATATGATTTTAGTTCAAGACTCTTCAATTTTAACATGGTAAATTTATTATACTTTATTTCTTTTGATATTTTCTACGCTCATTCAGAAGAGTTTATAAAAAAAACCACAGCAAATTTTTCGATAATTATGTTAGAACTAGAAAAGAGAATTTAAATAGTTGGGAAAACTCTTTGAAATCATTTTACTGCTTTAAATGGGTTTTAAAAATAATTTTTTGCGTTACACGGTAGGATGAAGAAATTATGTGAAATTTTTTTTTCACATAAAAGGTTTCTTTTTGAATTAAAGTTCATTGGTATAACTTTATGGTTCAATCTGGAGAAGAAAATTTTTATTTTTTCTTTCTGACTTTCTTTTCTGTGTTAAATAGATTATGTAATATATGATGCTATGAAGTTGAGGGTAAAGTGAATCTTAACGATCGGTCTTCACTGAATAATTCTTAGATAAACTTTCTACGTGCAGGGAAAATGAAGTTGCTTTTACCTTTTCCAATGTCAGTTTTCGAAATAGTGTTTTTATTAACAAAAAAAAAGAAACGGAATTCTTTATCATGGTAATAGAAAATTAACTGTGTTGTTACGTTTGTAACTTCAGTCCGAAAAGCAAAGTAGATTTAAGTAATATGAAATTTTTTCATGTAAAAAAAATGTTATCTATGTTTATACCTTGAGCAATTAAATATTTAATTGTTTATTGGTATTATTTTACTTGTTTTCATTTATTTTTGTTGATCAAATTTTGACAATTGAGGTTATGGACCCAATTTTTCTATAATAATAAATGTTTACTTTCTGTTGAAATAAATTATATTATTAATAAAATTAATCTTGTACACAGCAAAATAACGCGTTCCAAAAATATTTTACAGAAATCAAAGGTCCAGGCTGATTGCTTTTATATTTTTTTTGGAATAAACATTTTCCATCGGAAGATTTATATGAAATTATATAAAAAAAATATACCTAGTGAAATAAATTTAGCGTAGTCAGATGCAGGGAAAGAAATTGCCATCGATCGGTTTTGTTTTCTGCCTGCGTACGACTAAACGAAATTTATTCAACTGGGCACAGCTTTTGCTTATTCTGCTGTCGTGTTTGACTTCAGGCAGATATTCATCTTCGAAAATGAATGTTGTTTTTTGGAAAAAATATCGTACTTTCTTCACTATTGTTTAGAAAGATTAAAATTTTATGTAGACTAATAATAAATTGTAATTTTTTTTTCAGCTCCTCCAGGGATGCTAATCAAGTTGGACTTTCGGGATTATTTTGAAATTGAAAGATCTGATGACTGCAAGCATGATTATTTAGAAGTACGTGATGGTCAACATGGTTATTCAAATCGTTTGGGAAAATTTTGTGGAAAGAAATTCCCAGAAGAAATAACATCCAAGACGAGATATCTATGGCTTAGTTTTGTCAGCGACGAGTCTATTGAATATCGAGGTTTTCGTGCAATTTGGACAACAGTTCCTCGACCGACTGGTAAATAACTTTATTGTATTTATACCGTTCATCACTCAGATGGAAAAATTAGATTCACAATTCGTTTGCGATATCTCGAGAGTCAGGAAATTAATTTTTACTCCTTTAGGTATAAATGGAAATATAAAAATTGAGAATAATTCTCTCTATTGAATTGTGTCTAGTAATATATTATACATTTTGACGTATTATATATTCACATAATGCATATTCGAGATCCTTTCACGCACCGATAAGTCGCAACGCGTAAACGGAAACTGCATAATGAGACTAACTCTGTAAACGTCTCGGGGATGTAGGAGTATCTGGTGGTCGTGAATATCGCGGTTTCCTGCTCGACATGCAACGGAATTACGAGACACCTTGGGAACGGATAGCCAGCCTCGAGGAACGCACTATGCTTACGCGGCAAGAGACCGAAATTAATTCATAGTCATCGGCTATAGAACCACTCGTGAATACACGAAATACCACTTTGACTCAGCTTAGTTTAATACCCTGTTTACCAAAACTTTATTAGATTTCAATACAACTTGCGAGCAGACAATTTCGATTATTAAAACTTTCAAAAAAGCTAATACGAGAACAAATTTTGATAATTAATTGAAACTTAATTATACCAGAACCGTGCGTCTACTCCTAATCATTTGAGACAAAAGAAAACCTTAATTTAAGATCACAACAATTATGCAAGATTATTTCACTAATTGTGTTCATAATATGTAAATTAAAGTAAAAACACTACAGATTTTTTCCATCAATTTATTATAGCTTTTCAGAAATTATATTAATTTTAATATTTTAATTAAACAAGGCAAACTCAAGAATTTTTTAACTAATTCTAGAAAGTTACTTAAATTTCTTTATAAGTTTAATTGCTAAATGAATAGATTATGTTTTAGTGACTTAGACGGGAAAGATTATTATTTATTAATTGCAATTACTTACAAAAAGAAAAAATTATTTCTATCACTAAAAAGTAGTATTTTACATAATTTTTAAAAACTTACCTATATCCTCCTTATCTTTATTTTAATCACAAAACTTTTTTCACTTCTGATCACCTATGATATTTTATATATATTTTTTTATTGTTTTGTCGCTTTTCACTTTTTATCACGCCATATATTAAGAATATTATTAAGAATGATGAAGAATATTTAAGAAAAAAAACACGTTTTCTTCACTTTGTAATCTGTAATATTCTGTAATACTGTGGAATAAATTAGAGAATCACTTTATGTGCAAGTATTTGGTAGCTATCACTAACAAATTAAATGATTGATATGAATAGAAAGAATGCTTTTGTTTAAATTTAAAGAGACATTGTTTCAAAATTTAAAGATCCCCTTGCTCCCAACAATCAACAGGGATGTTTGCGTTCTTCCGCAAGGATTATCTAAGAGAAATTAGGATACTAGCTGACATGGTATAGCTTTCGAAAGCATTAAATTTCATGCCTTTGAAAGATAGACGTTGTTCGGAATGCAAGAAAATTGGTGACCGATGAAATGGAGAAGCAGTTAGTTGCAGTCGTACTTGTCCCGAGTGATTAGCTGGGACAGTCATTGTGCACTACCAGCGGGGACCATGCGGAGGTTCTGCATATGTTTCTTAAATATCACAATCTGAGAAGGAATTACACTTATCCGGTCAACTGGAGGAAATTATCTGTCATTTATGATTATCCTGTCAACATAAGGCAATTACCAGTTATAGATTTTGGGACTCTAATCATGTTGCAGTGACGAACCAAAGTGCGCATGACCCATATACGGGACCGAAGCAGGATAGCAATTAACCTATTTTCATCAGTTCCTGCATCGTGCTTGACCACTGTCTCTCTGTTCTTTGTCCATGGTAACCAGGACCCTAAGTGAAATTCTCTTAAAGTTCAAATAATTACATTATAAGCTCGGTTAATTTTCAAACTGTTGCAGAAGTGCTTATATTTGTAAACATCACCTAAATGGCGACGAGAAAGTTCCCTAAAACATATCTCTGGCAAAATGTTTTAAATTCGAATTGTGGGATATTTAATTATATAAAATATTCCAATTTCTGGATGAGTAATCTCATCCGGTAACAGTAAATATCATTTCACATTCTAGGACCCATTGGAGAGATCTTTTTCGAGACCAAATAAGTAAACTGTCTCAGGTCCCTAGGGAAAAAATCATGAGCCTTACAGTTAGCCCATGTGGCATATCTATTTTCCTGAATAATCTTCTTCTGCCTAGAAGTTGCCTGATCTTCCAGGGATGACCTGTCACTCATGGTTCTTCCACCAACGGATTATATCTTTGATTATATCTCTCTCAAATATATATTTTACAATGTAAAATGATTGTCCGTTGATTTGATTTGTCCGCTGTTCCATATAATGTAAATATTAGATTCGAATATTATTATCCTTTATATCAAATATTGAGGATGTGCATTCAGCGAAACGAAAATGTTTTTTGAAACGTGATGGTTTAAAATCAATGTTACAATTAATAATTGAGAAAATGATTCTCTCGTATCATGAACAATATTGTTTTTCATAACCCGATGGATTGATTTTCATTTTCTAAATACAAATAATACTATATTACAATGATAATCAATAACTGTCTAAATATTCGATTACATCGTCTTCTATTCAAAATGGTTTTCTGCTTTGCTTTGACAGTTGATCAACAGTTATAAATTCATCATTGTAGAACTCTTGAATAACCCGGAGTCAATTTGGATTATAAGTGCCAGAAAGCACTTTCTGAATTTATTTTCCTATAAATAATTTAATATTATAACTATTTTTATATAAAAAAATTTTCTATGTGAACAGACATCGCAGTTTTAATGTTTGGGCACATTTTATATCGAACCATTCGTCTAATAATAGTATTTTAAACGGATGTTTGAAAAAAAGTATGTTACTGTAATAGATGTGATTCACAGATGGAGTACCACGTGAACCGGAACCATGCACACGAAACGTAACGGAAATGTTGGAATATGAGATCACTAGTCAAGATGTCGAGGATCGTAAAAAGGCTGCGCAGAAGGATGGGCTACCTCTAGATTGTATTTGGGAGATTGTGGTGAAGAAGGGAATGAGGGTAATGACTCTAGAATAATTTTATGTTTGCTCTATCATTACTTTTCTAACAGTTTCAAACTTCTAAAATTCTCTTCCAAACAAATTATACCTTAAATTTATTATCCTGAACCTAAACTTTTCTAATTTACTTAAGCTACAGAATGTTAGGGTACATTTCCTCGTGTTATTGTTTCAAATGAATTTGTTTCTATCAAGAATAGAATAACAGGGGGATAATTCTAAATTAGTTTCATGTCTCAATTTTTTTAAGACTAACGAATCACGATATCGAAGAATTTAAAATTTATCTAACAATAGTAAATTAGATAAATATTTTTATAAATCTGAAAAAGATCCAATATCTTTTGCTGAGAGGTTAGCCATCATCTACTTAATTGTAAATACGAATTGTTAAGAAAAATATCTTCCTTCTTATTAATTGTAGAATCATTTCTGAAGTAAAGCGTTTTTTATAATTTGGTTCACGATCAAGTATAATGGTATTTTTCCAATTGAAATCATGTTTGAAATTTAGTTGATGTGCACGTACCACAGATTTATCGTTTTTATGTTCATTGATACGCGTGTTCAAATATGTCAGCGAAAAGTGGTCAGAGGGGAGAACCCATTAGAGTACCATCAATTTGTTTATATTATCTTTTATCAAAAACTGAAAACGCGTTGTTGAAAATAAATTTCGTGCATTATTCAATTTTAGACAATGATTTTACAATTTGTTAGTGATGCAAATCTTCGTTCAAGACCTTCAATGACTAAATTAAGAGGAACTTTAGTAAATAATGATTGTACGTCAAGAGACATTAGAACATAATCATTGTCATTCAACTTTTTGAGAATTTTTAAAGTATTCCCTTTAAAATTGGTCAATGAAGGTGTTTTAATTATAGTAGGAATTCGACGGCGGTACACCATTGACTTATTCGATTCTTTATCTAATCTAAGTGCTTCTAGTTGTTCCCTCACTCTCTCAATCTCCTTCTGCTGCATCACGGTTTTATCGTTTGGCATCGAAAGATTCCCCAGTTCTTTTACATAAGCTGGATCTGTTTTGATACTTTTAAATTCTTTTAGAATTTTGTTTGTCGAGCTATCATTTTTACCTTTATCGATTATCATCATTCGAAATTACCTGATGATAAAAACAATTTTAAAGTTAATGATTCTAAAGGAATTTGTTTTTAAATAAACAATTTTAAATTTGTTTCCCCTGTCAAATGCTTTATCGTAAATTATTTTTTGTTACAGATACAAATGTCATTTCCGGGTTTTGATTTGAACAAACCAAATGAATGTGATGCTAATTACGTGGACATATTCGAGGATCATCCGGACATTCCATCGAGATTGAGGAATTTCTGTGGGAGTATTGCTGACCTAGTAACAACAAAGAACAATGTAGCTTATGTTCATTTTTACACCGAACCTAAAGCAATAAATAGTTCCTTTAGAGCGATTATGACAGCAGTTCGAGATAAAGGAACTGGAGGTAAGAAATGATACACCGTGTTTAAACAAAATCGATAAATATTTAATCTTAATATTTTAAATACAACTCGGATTGAAAAATAAAAATGTGGATTCCAATTATGGGGAATTTTTAAGAAACGAATTTTTGATATGTAAATTTTTCTATTAATCTGCATTTCAAAAGCAAGAGGAAATTCTGTTTAAGGGAAATTTTTAAACTCTGAAGAGTATAATCCTGGAGAGTCTCAAAGAAGTTGGTAGCTTGCATTGTTCTTCTAAAATTAATGATACATCTAAAAAAAAGAGAAGAGCATTAACCATTCAAATGCAGACTTCTTGATTATGCAAAGAATGCATTACCTAGTTGAGAATGAAAGTAGGATTTTTTTAATTCTAGGATAACATGAACAAGAATTAGTTAATTTTAAAGAAAGTTTTTAGATAACGTTAGAAATTAGCTAGAACAAAATAAATGGAATGCAAGATAGTGATTACAATTCTATCAAGTATGATGTATACAGAAGGTTGTGCGTTATGGTGTTTCAAAGTGAGTTTCAAATAATTATAGTTTGGTTCAATTCCCAACTATCAATAATCAGCTTAAAGCTGCAATTCCATTGAGGATAATCGTTCGATAAAGGATTCAAATACCATATTAATGCCCGATCACTTGCTTGCATCGAGAATGAGCTTTGAGTACATTCAGAATAACCACGCACAGGGCTAATGGATCTAGATATAGCGGAAGAAAGATCGTCATTTTAAGGATTTCACGCTAATATTTTATTTGTTAATTTAGAATAAACGCTGATCAATTGTTTTTCTCTGGAAACTTTAAAAAAAATTGCAGTAAAGGAATTTTAGATAAACTATTGTAACAATTTTAAAAATTGTTAAAAACAAAGCTGTGCTTATAATTTTGTATGCATTTCAATACTTTTTTCAACTTTGTACTAATGGAAATTTTATTTGATTACAGGTTGCAATGACGATGAATTTGATTGCGAGGATGGATGCATTGACCTCAAATTGAAGTGCAATAATAGAATCAATTGCCGCTTTGGGTACGACGAGGAAGTGGACCTTTGTAAAGTAAGCTTATATCAGTTTTTAAAAATTCAAAATGGCGGATCCAATATGGCGGACAGGTTTTACAAAATTGATCGAATTTGCTTTAAACTTATTACTCGGGGGTTTTAGGGGTCGCTGATTACGAATTTGATGTTAGTTTTCAAAAATTCAAAATGGCGGATCCAATATGGCGGACAGGTTTTAAAAAAGTGATCGAATTTGCTTCAAACTTCCTACTCGGGGGTTTTTGGGGCTGCTGATTACGAATCTGATGTCAGATTTTAAAATTTCAAAATGGTGGATCCAATATGGCGGACAATTTTTATAAAATTGATTCAATTTGCTTCAAACTTATTAATCAGGGGTCTTTTTTTGGCCGTTGATTACGAATCTGATTTCGGTTTAAATTAAATTCAAAGGACTTTAAATTGTATACTAAGATAAATAATGTAGCAAATAAATAATTGAAAACATTCGGTGAAATTATTCTGGAAATGTTAATAAATTCTCGCCATGGGAGGTAAGAGAGAGATCCACCTCCACAGTGGCGATATCCAAGTCGATTTAAAGGGTTTTCCTAGAAATTTAAAGGTAACCGCCAGAGGATGGGTGGGTGTGTTTCCGGTTCCGGGATGAACAATACTACGTTTTTGGCATACGACCAGAACAAGGTACCGAACAACGCGATGGCCGCGGTGGGGTATTAATCTAACTGAAAATAATGTTCCCAGTATTGCACATGATGGCTCTCATACCTCTGTCTATATTTTTGCCCGCTTCGATTTGAATAACAATTTATAAACTTTTATTGGTCCATTTCTTGCAATCGAAGCACCTCCTTTTGGCCAATGTCGAGACTCTTATTTTTTCCCTCCTCATTTTGTGTGAGAGGCTTTTCTATTAGAAACGCTTCGAATTTTTTTTTCCAGTTTCAACGAGTAAAGTAGGCCAAAGGGGAATAAATTTATTTTTAATAGAAAAATATGATTGGAACGTTTTCAATTCACCGAGGAAAATTCTCGATGATTGATTATTAATTTTGACAGATAATGAAAATGAATTTTGCAAATAAAAGACAAAGTGAAATTATTTTATGAATTTGTCAAAAGGAAATATTTCTTTTAATATTTAGTGTGGGGTAATGTTTTTAAAATTGAATTTTTGAAATATTGTTCATGACTAGAATTTAGTAGGCAAAACAAAACAATAACTGTTAATGTAATCTACAATAAGAAAGGAATTCAGAATCACTGACATTTGTTTTGACTTTAGTACTGCTCATTAGCATAATTAAATATTAATTAGAGAAGTCATGCTTCGTTACATTGATACAGTAAATAGAACTTGTAATGTTTACTGTGTTCTCTCAAAGTGATACGTTTGCCTCAGTTGATTCTATTTGAATTTCAAACTCTTTCACTATATCCGAATTGAAAATTTAAAAAATAAAATTCCTTACCTCTCTTTATAAATATTTTTTATCATCAAACAGATTTTGTATTATTTTGCAAAAAAAACTATGTTTTTCCAAAGAATAGGTTGAAAATTTGAAAAAAAAAATGATTTATCTTTCTACACAGGCCAAACTAGAACAAATGGTTTAAAAAACAATGGTCCATTAAGTGAAAAAATTTTTGACATCGACAAACCAGAAAAGTGCTTTTAGAATCGAGCTCTAAATTTATCGTAAAATGTCAATGTGCTTTATATTGCTTTCGAACGTTTAAATTTGACATTTTAGATTTAAATAGAAGTACATTTTAATTGCAATTGAACAAAGAGACTTTTACACTGACAAATCGGTTATACTTGTTATTTTATTTACATGTAACCAAATGTTCTTAATGACTTTTTTATTGTTTAAATCAAATCTAGTACTTTTGGGGTACTATTTACCGTAAAAATAAATTTTATCTTACAATTTTACAAACTAATTTTATTTTCTGCTTTTAAATTTTCACACTTTATTAAAACTCGTGTTTTAATAAATTTGAGTTTAAAACTATTTTTCATATTTTATTTGAATTTATATTTTCTCTATGGATGAACGTCTTCTTTATAGCCTTGTGAATAGACGATCAATGTAAGCGTAAATCGATCCTTTCCTACAAAGTATATATTTTATCCTTCTTGAAAAGCTAGGTATCGCAAAAAGTTATTGTTACCGATTACTTCTCTTTTTTTTTAAATGCGAAAACAAATTTATGACTCTTCCTATTGTTGTATTTATAGGGGAGGGGAAAAATTATTTAAATTTACTTTTACCATGTGATATTTTTTCTTAATTTAATAATTTTTGAAACAAATTTAAAATTATCTATTAGTCACCTGGTTCAACCTGTTTATCAAAAAGATATATTTTTTTACTTTCGTAACATGTCCTGAGGAGAGTGATAAATGTGAAGCACGAGAACGTGGTGTTTACTTACATTATAGATATTGCATATGGGTTTCCACCTTATTTATAGACATGATGTGTCAGCATATATATATATATATATACATAAAAAAAGTTTTCCATTTTTAGAAAAGAAAATAAAAGCGATGATAACAAAAAAGGGTACAATTTAAAAATTTTCTTTTATAACAAAAAGGAAATTAAATTACATACACTGGAGTGTAATTCTATTGTTTTATGAAATTTCATCTCTACAATATCATCATCTTTTTTAATAATAAAGTTGTCCATTACAAAGGATATAAAAGAGACTATGTCAGTAATTCAAGATGTCACAGTTTGATACATGCCCTTAACACAAAGCTTCTTGATGAAAGGCGATTCATGAGGTGATAAAACAACTCTAAGACCAGGATGCTGGAAATGCTAGGAATCCGTTTACGGTGCTAGAGTTAGCTGATAATAGAGGTATAAGGTAGGAGAAAAAGAGCAAATACATGAAGTATGAGTGTATGTTATAGGCTATTGCTCACATAATATCAGACGATACGTTACAAAAAGAAAAGGGAGTATAAGAGAATAATAGTGAAAGAAAAGGGACCTTAGGATAGTTTTATAAAGTAACTCCGGAAAATTCTTTTCTTAAGAGTTTCACTATACTTTTATCTGATTTTGAAATTGATATTTTTCACGTTGAAAAGGAAATTTATTTGTCCGCCAAGCTTTACTTTTAGTTCGGTTAATATTCTTATAGTGATAAGACTTTCTATTTCTATTTCTTATTCCTCCTATGATGATCTATGGATCTAATCTTTCTACGACTACCCGCGGCACTGATGGACATGGTCGTTAATGATGAACTTGGGGTACCTTCTTGGGGTATATTGAATAATTCATTTTTTCTTGCTGTTTGGTTGTCCTTTAGTGAAAAGCCCCGCCACCACGACAAGGTTTACCGAAAATATCCATGATGCACATGATGATTGATCAAGGAAAAATTTTCCTTCTGTATTTTTGGAAGTCCATACGCTTTAGCCAACACAGAGTCAGACAAGATCAATTGATTTGGATGATATCTCTTATCAAAAAATTCACTTTCGTTTAAGTATTTAAAAATCCCTGATCTCTCTCTTATTAGGTTTATTAGTCAAGTTATTTGTCAAAAGGTTAGAAAGCTTTTCCTCTTAGAGAATTTTTTGAGCCATCGTCAATTTCAAGATTAGTTAAAAAGGACTCCAAATTTTTTTATAGAATTTATTATATTTTTTTTTAAATCTCAATACTAATTTTTAATCTTTTATTTCTGAGGTACTAACCTGGATATTAATAATTAATTACATATTATATTTTTAAGTAAAGCCAATTTGTAGTATTAACATATGTGGTACATTTTCAAACTTATTAAGTAGTGGCTGGTTGCAGGTCAACTGGGTTTTGTCATGAGGTCATAGTGGAAAATTTGTGGTTGTTTTACGTCAGTCATAAATTACCTGATTTTGTTGTTGTAGACAACTGTTATACATTAAAATTTTCTAAAATATTCTCTAAAAAAATAAATAGAAACAAGACTTCAAGTCTGAAATAATCAACAGTATTATTACTTTTTGATAATAAATTATTAGTGTAACTACTTATTCTAGTAATTACAAGAATATGAAAAATACAATTACATACTTCAATTGCTTAAAATTAATATTATCAAAAATGTTTAATGTTTGTTTCAGCCAGGAGCTGAATCATTGATTGAATCTGAGCACATCATCATCATTCTCGTTGTTTTCTCTCTAATTGTATTTGGCCTTTGCTTCACATTTGTTTTCAATTGTGTCCGAAAACTTGTACGAGATCATCGTATTATAAGGGTGAGTTATAATTAAATATTTTTATTACATTTTATTTAGTTCTCTTATAAAAAAAGTTTTTTTTTTTTATTTTAATATTTGAGTTTTAATATAAAGTTTTAAAAATATTATCACTTATACTGAGTTCATAATTTAAAATCTTTAAGATGTTTTATTATATTGTCTCTCGATAAAATTTAATTATAATGAAAATAAATTCTAGAATCTTTATAACCTCATTGCGTTGGCCGTAAGCTGATGTAACTAAGTTCTTTACTTTAGTGCCAATCAATATTATAGTGGGTGGTAAAATTCAGAGAATATTCGACACCTTTTACGATTTCTCGTTAAACACTTAAAGGAACATTAAAAAACTGTGTACATTTTACCATTGAAGTATCAGACAAAATATTTATTAGAAATTTTATCAGTTCTTATCAAGATAATTCATTTTTTTAATTTTAATTATTATTACAGATGAAACTTAAATTCGTAATGTAGAAATTAAAAACAGGGATAATAATCTGCAAATGAAGTCTGTAAAATAGAATCGGGGGATTTTTTCCGAATATTAATAAAATATTTTGTCTTCATTTTCAATATCGTTGGGAGGATAAAGAAACGAAATAAGCATTTGAGAGTATTGGATACTATTTTAACATTTGATGATTATATTGAAATATCTTGGGATGATTTAAAATTTTTAAAATTTGGATATTATGTAATCGATTTATGATATCCGTGTTTGTATCTTACTGGTAGAAGCAAAAAAGTGTTTTAAGGTGAAATTCTGAGCTTTTCTGATTAATTAGTAAAAGATTCTTTATGGAAACTAAATTAATCAAATTCTTACTTATAATCTTAGTAAAATAAATGCTTCTATCTTTGGTTACGTAGTCTTGACACTATTCTTGATTTTCTTTTTTTGTAAGGAAAAGTTTGAAAAATTTCGTGACCCTTTTTCGACGCAATCGCGTGAAAAATGGTTTTCAACTTCGCCAGTAACGAATGTTCCACTTCGACTCTAGATAGGATTTCAACTGAAATATAAAATTTCTCCCATTTCACCAACGTAAAATACAAAGTCAATGAATGAACCCAAGTTTTCAGACAATCTACAATTTTACGATATTTTATTATTTTATTGCTCTAATATGTATTTTTATCCTCCAGCTAAAGTAACAGCAATTTTTAGTGCGTAGCGCTTTATGTGCTTTTTATATTTTCTCGGCAAGAGTCTACTTGCACACAATTTTAACTTTTTAAATTTTCAAATAACATTCTTAGCATTAATGTGAAATTTTTGTTAAATTATTACAACCTCAATATGTGATGAAAAGTAAGGGAACACACATGAAAAAAAGGACATAAAGGATAATAATACTTTCTACTTAAGATGATATTACCAAGTTATCGACTTTCGAGATAGGGGTTTGTGTCTAATAGTGGAAAATTAATTCGCAATATAACTCTTTGCTTGGAGCATTAATGGTTAAACTGTTATTTTTCTTGTAACATGATTTAAACCAAGATGATAAGTGCCATATTTCTAGCTAACTTAAATTCAACACAATGTACATATTTCAATAGGGTACTATAATATTGTGAAATCTTAGACTTTATACTTTCTCGGGAGTTTAATAAATTCCGCATTGATTATTTTATGGAATCGTAACTCTTTGGTCAAATGATAAATTAAACCTGAAAATTGGAGAACTAATTTTGTAGAATTCATTTTTTCTTGCTGTTTGGTTGTCCTTTAGTGAAAAGCCCCGTCACCACGACAAGGTCTACCGAAAATATCCATAATGCATATAATGTTTGGTCGAGGAAAACCCATACCCAAAATATCGATGACATCGATGATGTTCGGCAGTGGACAACCATTGGAGCAGCATCTGTACCTTATGATGCACTTCAATTTTTTTGTGCCACATTTCGCGAATTATAATTCAGTAATCTATTTAATCTATTTCCTTTAATCATTAGCCATTCTCATATCACTTTAGCTATACCAAAATTTCGTACAGCACAAACATCAAATTATACAAAATGTTGATCGAGGGTGATCATTCAAACAACACTTGATTACGGAAGTTCCGGTCAAGAGTTATGTTTACGCTACAAAGTTATGGTCAAGAGTGACGCCTAAAGTGATTTTCGACAGGGCGTTGACAAATTACCGAAATATTGACACATAGATCGATGTAAGTTCAGGAACGAATCCGTTAATTAGGTACCCCTAACTAACTTTCAAAAGTTGGATGTTCTATTTCTATTTCATGAATTCTATTTTTATGGACACAAAATAATAAATTAGTAAGATATTATTTGTTTGAGGAATGCTATCTATGACGCCAAAATCGATCAACATGTCGACCACTCTAGTTTTTAAAGTTGGTACACAGAAATGTGGTTTTTGAAGTAGTTGTGTATTGTCGCCGTGAAGAGAAAAGAGAATTGGATCGTGGCGCAAGTATTTTCAGGGAGTGGATTTTTAAATTGTAAAGAGAAAAAGTTTTTGTGGTGAAATAACAAAGTGTAGAATTCACTGAAACGACGAGAACTGAGAAAATAAATCTGTGGTGACGAGGATCTATTTAGATTATTTAATTGAGGTACTTCTCAACAATATTGCCATGTGGAAAATAGTTTTCCCTTTAGGAATTTATTTTTTCAACCGCAAATATTTCCATGAAAATTCCAAATTCATTTGTATTCAAAGGGAAAATGACGTCAAAAATTTAATTTTCCTTAAATTAGGAATTAAATTTTTTATTTCGTTTTTAAATAACAAAAACATTTATTACGAAATTCCTATTTTATATTTTGCAGAAAAATACAGAGATGCATTTTAAATAAAATAAACCAGTATTACAAATATAAACTTTAGAATATCTTTACGAGGTTTTGTAAATCGAAAACATACTTTACGCCTTTAAACTCTAAAAATGGAATTGACTCCTATTCCATTGATGCTTTTTTTCAAATATATTTTATTACAAAATCCTTTTACCTATGAAACTTCATGGTTAGTTTAAATAAAATTTTTTTCTTTAGTTATGGAAACTAGCTAAAGATTCAAAAGTTCTGACAAGACTTATAGTAAAGAAGATTCATGTTATATTATGGATAAAAATTCAGTGGAAGTAATAAGACCTGTGAATATCGAATTGCAGTTCAAACGGAATAGAGATGCGAGTATTCTCCTTCAAAAATATGTTTCTACATTCTTGCCAGAGAAGTTATAATAGAAAGTTTAAAGTTGGTATGCTTAAAATGAGCAATTATACGATTAGGACTTTGTACATAGTTGCAAAGTTATTTATTAAACAATGTTTCGTATTTATCCCACTCCCCCTTTCAAGTTGTTAAATTAATTCAAACATTTACGTCTTGTAAATTTCATGTCTTATGTAAAAGAAAAAAAAGCAGATTTTGATAAAAACAAAATTCAAAAATTCTTTATATATTTGCAGATTAGAAAAACAGTAAATTAAAAACCAACGTTTGATGAATCCAGCAACGACTAATATTATATTTGAAAGTAACTAAAGGTATCGAAATTAAATTGAAATAATTGCTTAAAATCATTTAACTTTATATCAATTTTTGTAGTATTAGTACAAGAATGCTTTAAAAAATGTGTTTAACAAAATTTGAGTTTCTATTATAATAATTCATTCATACTCATTTTTAACTATGCTTTAATTCACTTAAATTGAATTCAAAATTTAATTATTGGAAATTCAAAATTAATTAATAGTTTCTGAATCGAAAACTAACCATCTAATTAAAGTTCACGTAAATTTTTTAAATCAACATTAAGTATAGAACAAAATATCACATTGATAAAATGTTATACAGTTTGGAATGTTCAAAGTTTTATATTTCGGTAAATTAGCCAGTGAAAAAATAATTGGGAGTAAAGGAAAATAATTGGGTTTTTTTTAAAATTAATTATTAACTAAAAGTGCAAATATAGTTTTATTAAAAAAAGGAAAGTTTTTTTATCGAAAACTTTATGAGTAAATGAGCCATTAAAGTGACGCCTCCGGGAAAAAATATAAAGTTCGCTGACATCTGAAATGTAGAAATGAAATTGATTTACATTTATTGTAATATTATTTAGTTCGCAATGGAAGGTTTTAAAAAAATATTTTCAAATGGTTTTTAACTTACTTTTTGATTTGGAAGGGGTACTCGATGTTTCGTGTTTCACGTTCAAAGATTTCCTATTCACTATCCTGAAAGAGTTGTTTTTTTAGTGAGTTGTTAAAATTAATATTGTTAGATATCACCACTGGATTAAACGCGTTAGCGATTGCACCGTTACCAAAATCTCATTCAGCTTATGTTACCCCTAATTATTTTGGCTTACTCCCAATTACTTTTTTGTAACTGGATATTTGCATTTTTGTAATATTTCAAATATTGAGCATGCAAAATTTCACAATTATTTTAGTTTTGGGTAAAAGAATTTAAATTATTTGAAATTAAACCCCTTGATGGAAGAACCAGACACAGCCTATTTAATTTCAATGGTCCATGTCTGGCTCTTGCATCAAGGGGTTCAATTGTTAAAATTGTTAAAATTGTTAAAATTGTTAAAATTGTTACAATTATTTCAAACCATTTTTGTATAATGTGCTTACAAATCGTTTGAACGAAATAATCCTCCTTTTAATCACTTTTTCATGATATCAAATTGAACTAGACATTAAAAGCCATGTTAAACAAAGAATCACCCTTGACTTGAATGGAAGAAAGGGATCTTTAGTTTCCATGAAAATACTTTCTTTACGACTTGCTATTAAACTTTATGTTCCAGGAACACATAAGACAATCGCGCGAGAATCGTCTGGATGAGATCGGTCGTCAAACAACGCCTTGTCCTGTTTCTGCAACCAGGACAGAAATTGGTGACATTGAAAGTGAATCGCCTAGCATTGAGGGTGTAACGACTAAAGAACTTTTAACCCCTTCGAGTATTATTGCTCATGATTACACAAAGGAATTAGTTATGGAGATGCACTACGACGCTAAAAATAGGAACGACATCAATGAAATTAATGACTACAATGATATTCATCAGAGTAATAATGTCAGCAATGCCACACAAGAACGTCTCCAGGAATCTAGTGAGGAACCAGAGACCAGAGATAACGCTTGTCAGACAAGAGAAAGTCTTTTTGAATACAGAACACCTGACACTTACATCAAACCATCTTTCACGACTTTTGGTTTTCGAGCACCGTCATCCCAGAATGGGAGTACTAATCAACACATTTATCATCAATCCAGTCCGGTTAAGAGTATTTCCAGTAAGCAGAGTTCCCTCCGTTCTCAACCATCCCACAAATGTACGGGTTGCAGTCCAGCGTCCAGAGGTAGAGAAGAGAGTGTCACATCATGTCCCCGGCACTCTGTTGTCCCAGCCCCTCCAGGTTGGTCCCATTATGATCATCACCCCCCAGTAATTTCCGATTCCCAATATCCCGATCCTCTTGATTTCACCTATCAAAGGTATCCAAGTCCCAAGTTCAGCAGAGACCCTTCCCTAAGTCAGTCTCCTAAACGACATCATATAGCTGGGTCAGGAGAGAGATATGGATCCATCCTAGGCTCAACGCACGGTTCCATTGTGGGTCCTGCACCCGGGTCCATCACCCATTCAGGACACGGGTCCAGTAATACAAATAGTTCCAATAATTCTGGAACGCCAAAACTAATCGGTGAATCTCGTTATAAGGCCGAGGCGGTTATCGAGGTTGACCAGAAGAGGCCTTTTAGTATAGAAAGTACGAAAAGTGCGCCTGACGTGATTGCCACACACTGACGACAGGCAGGTGGGGATTGGGAGCCGTACAAAAGACGCCATCCCCGTCAAATTGCTGGTGAAAGTTTAATTAAACAAAGAACAATTAGTGTCGCCACTCAGAGTTCACTTGATGAAGATGCCACAACAACGTCGACAATTGAAATCTCCTCTTCTTGATCCACATCAGCTGACCGCCCGGAACTTGTCCCAGAGGTGGTCAAAGAGGGCCCAATAGTTTTACAACCTGCTGGTCTTCTAAAGATTCCAGAGGAATTTCTACAAATTCTAGAGCCACCTAAAGAGTTTCGAGTTCCTAATTTTGATTGTAAACTTCCGTTTACATTCTGCTGTCACCATTGCACTTGTTCTAAACATGTTGAGCTTGATAGGAAACCAGTGTTGCCTTCTGGAAATACAATTTGCTCTTCTAAAGACAAATTTTATGGAACTTGGCCTAATCGGAGTGTGAGAGGATTTAGAAGACCCTCCTTTGGAAGACAAAAGTCTGTTGGAGGTTTAGAAGGTGTACGACATAAAAGGATACGATTTAAATCTGTTGGCTGTAGAAAATCATTAGAAAATGAAGTTGGAGCTTCTATACCTTTCTAAAAGGTTTTTATTTTTACCATCCACTTTTTTAATTATCTTTTTAGATACTTCTTTTCGATGTTCATTATGATACAAAAATCATCAAGACGTTGTACAAAAAAGTTGTACTCTTGTAAGAAATTTAAACTTTTGCTAGACAAGTTTACAACAATCATACAGGGAAAAAAGTAAAGTTTTCAAAAAACAAAAATCTGTAGAAATAAGTCTTGATTTTTTTTCACATTTTTTAGTTACCATGTTTTCAAATAAATCTTAAATTAATATTTATAGAACGGCTTCGACATTTTTCTTTAATTGACAAAATACTTTTCTATGAAACTTTAACATAAATACTTGTAAATTCGTATTGCTCAAAATTATTTCTAAAAATAAGAAATTTAGAATTTCTGAAAGTTTCTTGTCTCAAATTGAGGCAGTTAGAAGTTAGTAAAACTGATTCAAAGAATAAATTGTAATAGGTCCTTTTACTTCTTTACCAATGGACCATTTAAATGAAGACAATCGCTGCCTTCTAGATAATCACTTACAAAAATAGACCAATTTTCTTTTTGGGTAAAATTTTTTAGAATTCTTTGAAAAGGGCTCTTTTACATTTATATAATTTTATATAGCCAACAATTTATAACAGATGTCCTAAAAATAGAAAATTTTCATTTGGAATTTTTTGAAAAAGGAACTTTATAATCAAATTCAGAGAAGAGTAGAACAGAATTATCAAAATAATTTCTAAGGTGGCCTATGAAACTGTTTATTCGACAACTATAAAAATAGGCTTTCTATTGAATTCAAACAATTTTTCTTGTATAAATTTGTAAAATTAAAAAAGAGTTTTTAAATATTTTTTAGATTTATAAATGTAAAAACTGATAGAAATGTGTTTGAGAAATTCTTTTTAATGAGGAAGCGGAAAACTAACAGAAAAAAGGCGAACGTTTAAGAAAATTGAATTTTCTTAAAAGCAATCAAAAGAGATTTTCTTCATAATAAAATAACTTATTATTGACAATACAAAATATTTTATTCCAGTGTGTATAGAAACATATCTGCCAGAAGACGATATACACAAAATATTCCATACAGCACATGATGTTTTCTACATATTTCTTTACAAAATTGAAAATATAATATATGTTGGTGGCACATTTATCGTCTGCTCAAAATCTGTTACGAGAATAAAAATAATTTGTTTTTTTTTATTTTGACACTACTGACAAAAACATTTTTTAAGGAAAAAAATATCAGTTATGCAATGATTAGAATCTTTATATAAAACTTTTATAGAAGTAAAGATAATTTAATTTTATAGCAAAGTATACATTGTACAGTACAGCCATTGTAGTCGTGTACAGCTGGCAGGCAGAGAGAGACTGACGACTGCGCACGAATCTCGCGTCGCTTGCCTTCCCCCACCACTCATTCTCTTTCCCCCACTTCTCGCTCTCTTCGCGCTCTTTATAAACTCGCACGCTCCGTATTTTCAATCAGTTCGTCTATCGACTTGGCTCGAGGTGCACTTCCCACTAACAGGAAGTAAGCTTAACCTTGAATTATTAATATAATATAATAAATTAATAAAAATAAAATATTATTTAATATTAAATTAATTTAGCCAATGGTGAGTAAAACTTTGCAATATAAAAATGTTTCAATAAAATGTAAAATTTTTATCACTTGTGTCAAAAACAAAAGTAAGCAAATTTTTCTAATTGCACCAAACTTCCATTGAAATCATATTTATTTATTAAGGAAACATCATGTGCCCAGTGGAACTGTATATTGTTTTCAAAATAATTTTTAAGTCATTCAAAGAAGAACTTATGTTTTTAAATTATAAAAATGATCATCAAAAAAGAATACAATTATAAACAAAATGTTCACATGCTTTAATTAAGATTACATAAGTTTTTGAACCAATAAAACATAATTCTTTGATTGAAATTATAAAAAAATGAGCTACTAATCAACATGCATTTTTGTATAGGTTAAATTATAAATTATTTTTTGATTGTACATCAATATTATTATGAGTGTATTGTATATTGTAAATATTTGTATATAATTGGGAAGTACCAAGAGAAAAGAGATTATTACGATAGACGGAAACGCCGTTTCTTTGCAGACGGAAATTAAAAAAAAAATTCTTATACAAACTAGTCATCTAAGGAAATCATTTTCAGTGATTTATTATACAAGAGATGTTTTATTGAAAGAAAGAATATAAGTGTAAATGATAAATCATATATGCGTCTGTTTTCATTTTTAAAAGTATAAATCTAATTATATTTCCATATCTCTACAAACTTTGAATGTACTAAATCATTAGGTTTTTCAAAGTTTATACAAAAAAGGAATGAAATGATTCATTATACTTGGTTCAATGCCCCGTTTAATTGAATTTATTTCATGTTTGTAAATTTTTAATCGATGTTAAATTTTTGATTTAATTTTTGCACCTTTAAAAAAACTGTTATTAATACGAATTGAAAAAATATCAAATACGATAAATTATTTCTTTTTAAAATGTAAAAAATACAAATTTTAATTCTTTTAAAAAATTGAGTGCTTTGATTTTTTTAGGAGAATGTGTCGTACGATTATTATTTAATGTGAATAATTTAATTGTGCTATATTAACATAAATTTTCGTCCCATTAATGTATAGAGTGTACACATTTGTATGTAAATAATGTGAAGGTGATGAATTAAAAAGTTTTAGAAAATCAAAAATAAATAGAATACTTTTAAACAAACCCGAAAGTTTTTTATAACCTTTAGGATAAGTATTATTATTAATTTCTTTGAATTCGTACAATTGGTGATACATTTAGAACAATGAATAATCTTTAGAATTTACATTTTATTGACGTAAATATAAATATTATTTTACCTATTATTATTTTATGATTTAGAATTATAATTATTCTGATATTTTTCTTATTATTCTTTAAAATTCCAGAAAGATTGTGCAAATTTTTCGGACTATATTAAATTGAAATAAATATTCTTTTGAATTTTTAAAATACGTAAATTTTTCAGTACATCAGAAGGTAAGTAATTATCCTGCTCACCTGAATGAACATTATTTTGCCTTTTATGAAAAAGTAAGTATTAACAGAACTTTTATTCATAAAATTTGTTCAAGAAGAAATATATAATGGTTACCGCAATGGAAAAAGTCTGACAATTAGTAATACCTTTTAAAAAAAAATTAGAGGGGGATTTTTATGCTAGTCATACTTAGAAGATTATTCTTTTAAAAAGAAAAATATTTTTAAGACGATGGAGGGTTAGGAAGGAATGGTGGGTTTAAAATAATTTCAATATTCTTTGGTTCATTTGAAACAAATTTTTTTTTGAATGATATTTACATAGAGAGTGTAATGATATAATAAAAAAAAATATGTGCAAGCCACAGAGAGAGAGAGAGAGAGACTTACAAAAGGGGAAAAGACATAAAGAATGAAAAAGAATATTCACACATGAGCTTAAAAAGCTGGCATTCACACTTTTAAAGAGGAACAACGAAGCGAAGGAGCTTAACGAAGACGGATGATCCGACAGCGTTACGAAGCGTTGCTTTCAAAAGCAAGCGCCCAACTGTGGGCTCGGTCACCTTTATCTCTTCCGCATAATTTAAAATTTATGTATGTACAGTTGCGACGTTGTCTAATGTCGCCGACTTGATAGTATAACGAAAAACTGTAATTTTTTTCTCATATGACAATCGATGCTGTTTGGGCAATAATTTTAGTAGAAAACTGTCAGTTCTGTAAATTTTTACCTACATGTTGTGTTTTAATTATTCGATTGGGTAAATTACAAAAATCTTTTTTATAAATAAACTTGAGAATTAAATTGTTCCATTTTGGACCGTCCATCCTGAATGAAGGATAGTTGATGACTGCCAAAAATATATTGACGCATAACGTCTAACCTTTAATTATTCGATTGGGTAAATTACAAAAATCTTTTTTATAAATAAACTTGAGAATTAAATTGTTCCATCCTGGGTCCTCCATCCTGAATAAAGGATGGCTGCTGACTGTCACAAACATTGACGCTAAACTATGGTCTACCCTCTAAGACCGGTGATTAGCAACTGCTGCCTGTTATCTGCCTTCGAGGGTCTGATAGTCGTTCGGTAATGTATAAACTATCAAATTAGGTAAAAGTTTTTAAACCCGAATATTTGTTATCTTCTTAAATTTAAACCCTTTCATCCATCCTTTCGTTATAACTATTATAATAATACAGAAATGCTTTAACTATTTATCGTCAACTTTTAACAACTATTAAAATATTAACCATCTAGTTGTTACATTTTAGAATACTTTCAACAAAAATATCAAAAGATAAAATATTTATTTCAATAATAATCTCGCTTTATGAATATAATTAAAAACTACATAGTTAGAAATTTAATCTACTCTAACACCACTAGTAAAATAAAAAAATATAACTTATTTTAATAAAACACTAGCTAATTTGTGGTTTTTGTTCCTCTCGACGAAATAGTTCAATTTCAAAGCACCATTTTAAACTTTTTTACGAGAGCCTATATTAATTAAATAGTTCCAGTGAATAGAATTCAAAACTTTAATAATTTTATATCCTGACATGAATCCATAGAAGATAATTTATAACAAGTTTCTTCTTTTTCTTATAACTTCTATTAGGATTTTTTAATTATGTTTTTCGTAATATTTGTTTTTTTGCATTAAATATTTCTTTTATGAATTATTATGTTTTAAAATTATTAAAATTAAAATATTTTCAAAAAGTGAATAATTTTGAAAATCTAAATCTTGTAATTTATATCAGAATAAAAAATCAGCAAGTATAAAAAAAAAGTCAGTGAAACGAACTGCAATCAGTAAAAAGACTCTATCAATAGCTTGCATTAGGAAAGCCATTGATTACTCAAACTTTAATTAAGGTGGCCAGACAAAAAAGAAAGGGCATCGTTAATTGGTTCGCTGGGCTTAAAGCTCACTTTCACGCCCTGTCGCAGCTTGCATAGAAATGCTTCTAGGTGAATACCCTTTGAATGCACCTCGAAACGAACTAAAATGAGTTCTCTCCCTTACAATAGATCGAATATACTTTTATTTCGAGAAAGTTTCTTCGAATTGAAAATTCAATTCTTCATCTTACTTTATTGTGTATTTTTTTACTTGGAGAAAAGAGAAATAGTATTTTTTATATACAAAGAAAATATATTATTTAAAATAATAAGAATATAAATATTTATGTCTTAAATCATAGAGGGGAAATATTTTTGTGAAATATTCAGGAAATTATGTTCTGTATAGGGGGGGGGGGGCGACAAATTGATTTTATAATCATCATTCGTTTTGTAACGAGGGATCTTTTCCTGTTTTAAATGAATTGCTGTTGTAACAATTAGTAATGAAAATTCAATTGGATATCTATTAAATTATAAATTGTTGTTAAAATTTGCCGGGGATTAAATAAACCTGTAAATGAACCTCTACAGGAACAGAATGTTTTTTTAATGAGGGTCAACTTTAAAAACAGGTTCTAGTAAATATTTTCTTTTGCACTAACCCCTTTAAAATCAGGCGTTAGAACATATAATTCAAATATATAACCTTATATATATATGGAGTGTATGGTAACTGACATAAGTGATACTGCGGACAATGGCACAGGCTTTAGATAATGCCGGAAATGGTCTTCGCCATTAAGCTTCAATCGTGATGGCAAAATGAACGTCTCTGCGGTGACAAAGCAAATTGCCGACACATTAAGAGCATTTGCTTTGATAGAAGATGCCCTTTGCATTTCAACACCTTCTTCCTGACTACAACTCATTTGTAATTATAACTTTGTCAAAAAAAATTAGATAATTAAAATTCCATGTTGGAAAATTATTCACCCAGCAATTTTAGTTCTGGACAAATATATAATTACTTTTTTCATGCATATGTTGATCATCAAGCAAAGCTTGTTACCATCGCATAATAATGAATGTCACATATATCTGATAATTAACAGTCCTTTGAAAAATTGCGTACAATATAAAATTATCTCTTATTACTTTCATCATGTATAGAAAATTTACAATTGCATTTTGGTCTTTGAGAAAATGTCCTCGTGTTAAGGGCACGAGGATTTGTAATTTAATATTCAACATTAAATCAAAAGTCCTTTGTTTGCCAAAGGATAATTATTTTCCTCAATGCAATTTAATTTTGACTTTTAGAAATATGAGGAGTATTCAATTTTGAAATTATTTTATTATATTTTATTACATTGAAGAAAGTTTTTATAAAGAATTGTTTGTTTTTTTCTATAAAACGATCATTCAAAATCTCGTTTATATAAATCGTTACACTTTCTAGGAAGATACAATCCAGAGGAAAATTGGATTAGGTTTTGTTGGATGCTACGTGAGTAACAACGGTAATAGTAGGAGTGTCGTATTTCATGTGAAGCTCACGAGCAAGCATTTAAACGTTAGAGTAAGCTTATAAATATTTAATAACTAACTCATTCAACAGAGTGTGAACGTCAGGGGAAAATTATTTCTTAGATTTGGAACAAATGCAGTTTTCGTTATATGAAGAGATTTATTATAATTACATTGTTCTTTTTCAGTTATTGAAATTATTGTTCAGTACATAATACCGAATAGTAAGATTACTTACATTAGATAAATATTACCTTTTCATATTGATCTTTCATCTTTATTCGATTGAATTCGATTGTGTAAATTACAAAACCATTTTTTTTTTATATTTCAGGACATAAATGAACATTTATTTTCAAAATTGTGATTAGTTTACTTTCTTTTATTTTACCACATTCGTTTTCTACCAGGTTCTTTAACTTGTTATATTTACGAGCAGATAACATTGTTTTCAAAGTGACTAATTACTTGCGAACAACGAGGCGCTTTTTTTTCTTTTTCCGAGTTTTCACAACCACAGGAATTAACTTAATGGCAGCTCCGGTGCAACGAACCGGAAGACTTATTCAGGGGTTGAATTCGCACCACAAAATCTGTACATTTTTCTTTCTCTGAAAAGAAAATAAACCTGTAATTTAATGGCACTTTGGATTTTTATTATTCGTTTATAATTTCTATCTTTGTCGATTCATTTTCAATAAAATTGAAATACTTGGAATGATGTGTAAGATTAATAATTTTCATCACATTTCATTTGATAACTAATCAAAAGGTTTTTGATTATTAAAAATGCATTGCTACGTTTGATGTAATGTTAGAATCACTATTTCAGAAGCTGGGCACATACTGAAGTGCTTCACAGATAGGGGAAGAGAAGGCTTGTGAACCGATTAAATGTGCAAGACAGAGTCAGGGGTTATCTCGTCTCTGGTATTGTTCGGTCGTGAGCACAATAATTAATCACACTTTTGTGAGTAGTTACTCGAAGCTAATTTTGTTTGAGGCCGCGTACTGATTACCTGTTAACTACATTAAACTCTAGCTATTATTTTCTCCATTAATCATTTGACAATATACGCTTCCTACATTTAACCTTTTTGATCCTTAACGATGTGTATCTACACCGAGTTACTAATTTTATAGAAAATGTTTTTTATTACCTACCTTGAACACTTTGAATTTAGAATATTCCACCGGAATATATGCAATACAAATAAAATAGGAAAGAAATATATAAATAGAACATTTTAATCGGCTCGCCATGTAGACCCTGC